TGGGGTCCTTGGGGGAGAAAGAGGGGTGAGTGAGAGAAATTCTTAAGAAGTCTCAAATTTAAAGACTACAAATCTACCATGTCTCTTAGGCACTATTTAAAGGATGCTGATTTGGTTTGCCTAACAGAACGAAGGCAAGGTCTGCAAGTTAGAAGGAGAGAAGCTTTGTTTTCTGGGAGGAACCAAAACTCTGCTGCTGTCACATGAAATTCCTATGAGACAAGTGCTGGGTGGGACACAGCTCTGAGTGAAGGAGGGCGGGCCCTGAAAGTCTCTGTGCAGAGGTCAGAAGAGGTAGAGGCTGTCATGGACCGGAAGCTTGTAACAAAGCCTTCAGGACAAAGGCCTTGGGGAATGATGGAACCCTTTTTGGAGATGTGTTTTATTGAGCAGGGCTGGACTCCACTCAGTAAAGAGCCCATGGAGTGACACAGCACTTTGACAGGGACAATGGGGAATAGTTTTCTGGAGGGAAGCCTGCTTCTTGGCCCGACAAGGCTATTCTTCTCTCCTTCCTAATCCTGCCTTGTCTGTGCAGCCGCTTCTGCCTTTTGGTTCAATAGCCTGAGATGGAGAATGGGAAAGGCCTGGCATGTCAAGGTCCTCCCGGAGGCAGGTGGAAGCCACCAGTAGGGGGCAGCACAGCACACACCTTAGTCTTGTGTTTCTGCCCAGCGGCTCTGGGGCGAACAGCAGAAGGCTGTTGGACCATTTGCCATTTGAGAGGTCGGAGAAGCCAAGAACTTGAGCTTAGATGTGTTTGTCACTAAGAAGTCCTGGGGTCGGGCAGTTATTTTGCTTGCTTGGCATTCATTCTCTCTGTCTCTCTCATCTCCCTTTCTTCACAAATTTTAAAAATTAAAAATATATAACACCACAATAATGTCATGTACTTATATTCACAACTGATGTTTCAGTATTTTTCTTTCTTTGTTGCAAGCTTTTTCTCTCTTAATAAAAGAAGTAGTTTAGCAATTTAGTAGAATTAACAGATTAACAGCTTAGATTTCCCTCCCTCCCTCCCTCCCTCCCTTCCTTCCTTTCTTTCTTTTCTTTCTTTCCTTTCTTTTTGCAGTTTGGCTGAGGCTGGAGCCTGCCTCTACTGGTATATGGGGCTGGTACTCTACTCCTTGAGCCACAGGCGCACTGCCTGCTTAGATTTCTTTTTTATAATCACAGACCCATTCTCCTTTCTCAAAGTAACCTTTCTAGAAATCATCTCTTTACACTTTGTGTATATACTTGACTGTGAATACTATGTCCTCTTGTTTTCAGTGTATTTTTGAAAGGTCACATAAATTGTTTTATATGATATATCAGTATACAATTTTGATTATATTCTTTCTCACTTAGAGGTCTCTTTCTACCCAAAATATAAATCAGGTTCAATCCAATTCATATATTAATACATATTATTTTTTTAAAATTTTTGTTTCTTTATGATGGGACACTTGAAGTATTTCCAGCTTTTGACTGTTACAGTGAATATGGCAATATTCTACTGTCCATATTACAATGACTATTCTATGCTTGTTTCTTTGTAGCCACATGCGAAAATTTCTCTTGGGTGAATACTTAGAAGTAGACCAAGCCTGGTAACTCACAAGTGTAACCCCAGCACTTTGAGAGGCCAAGATAGGGGGGTATCCCTTGAGGTCAGGAGTTCAAGACCAGCCTGGACAACATAGCAAGACTTCATCTCTACAAAAATAGAAAAAAATTAGCTGGGTATAGTGGCCTGGGTTTTTAGTCCTAGCTACTCAGGAGGTTGAGACAGGAGGGTCGCTTGAGCCTAGGAGTTTGAGATTATAGCTAGCTATTATCACACCACTGCACTCCAGCCTGGGCAATAGTGCAAGACCATGTCTTTGCAAAGAACAGTAACAAAAAAAGCAGAATTTCTGGGCTCCCAGGGCTGCTGGTTTATGATTTTCCAGGATATTGGCAAAGTGCCCTTCAAAGTGGTTCTATCCATTTAAGCTCTCTCTAACAAGGTAGGAGACATCCCTCACATTCTTAGCAATGCTTTGTATTGTCAGACTTTAAGTATTTTGTCAATCTAGTGAGAAGAGAAGAGAATGTCATTGTCGTATTAATTTGCATTTTGGATTCCTCATGAGATGAGCAACTGTTCAGTTTCCTGGCCATTGAGGTTCCCCTCTGTGAATTGCCTGCTACTCACTTTACTGGCTTCCTTTCCAGTCCCAGGATTCTTTACATAGTGATAGCTAAGAAAAGTGTCTTGGGGGTGGATTTCACCAGCAATTTGTAGCTAGCCTCTATATTGTGAGCATCTCTGCAGATGGTAGCTTAGGAGGGGGCCATTCTTGGAGTCTACTACTGAAGGAATACTTGCTGACCATTTGATCCAGCTCTTCGGGTAGTCTTTCCATTTTGACAGGAATAAAAATTTATGTGTTTATCCAAGACATTCCTGCCTTCACAGTGGATGAGTATTCTTTAGTGAATATATTTCATCATTTCACATGGTTCTTGTGATGGTTTTCAGCAAAATCTCCTATCTGGTCAGTCTTAGATCCAAGGACGGTGGTGCTTTGCTTAACTTGCATATGTTCATCTCATGAATACTGTGAATTCACTAATGACCACATTTATAAAGGAAATATCTGATGAAAATGTGATAAAAGTAAACTAAAGGACACAAATAAAGAAAAGTTAAAGGTAAATGATTAAGTACCTATTAAATGTGAGGCCTTGTAAGCGTGAAGGAAAAAACAGTGATCCAGGTAAAGAGAGATGAACTCTGGAGGGATTTCAAAACAGGGACAGGCAGCATGCTAAAGGCAGCTGGACGGAGTGGACGGGCTTTTCCAGGAGTCCTGATCTGTGACTCCAAAGGAAAACTTGCCCATCTTATCCACCCTTTTTGCTGTCAGTTGCATGAGCAAAGCATCAAAATCTGGGGCTCTCTGGAATGCAGTTCTTACTGTGAGATGATTTGGAAGAGTGAGGTCGCTGTGGTCTCTATTGAAAATGTTAGTGAAATGGCAATTTTGGAAATACGTATCTAAAGTGTGATCATTTTGCAATGTTTCATGGAAACTTGCCATTGAAAACTGGGCTTTGGGCTGTCTGGTGGTAGTGTGTTACAGAACTTATAAAAATAAGTGTCATTAGAGTTGGTATTACAGAGCTTATAAAAATAAGTGTCATTAGAGTTGGTATTACAGAGCTTATAAAAATAAGTGTCATTAGAGTTGGTATTCCACCTCCCATTGCTAAATTTGACTGGCTTAAAAAAAAATTGGGCTTTGGGTTTAAGTCTTGACATAGTTCCTTCTTCTGTGTGTGGTGGGAGAAAGGGAATGAACCCTCCTGTACGTCTGTTAAGTGTCAGGCCCTGGGTAGCAAGTAGAGCCAGAGGAAGATGCCCTTTCAATTTTGGAGGATGCATTTTTATGTAACAGGGGGACACTACTTTGTAGTTTCTCGGGTATAATTTTGTTTGACAGACAGTGTATTTTTTTATTTTTAAAAATTTGTTTTCTAAAGAGATGCCCAATCCTTTACTATGTATCTTATCATCCTTTTCTTTCCCATGCTGGCTCAAAGGGACTTTTAGAAGCTAGATATTCTCCCCATTGTTTAATTTATTCTATATTTTTAACTCACTTTATTAACAGCAGGGCCCACATACATCATGTTTTCAGTATCTTAATTGGAATATGTTATTTATCTTAATTTTTTTTTAAAAAGAAAGGGGCAAATTCATCCTGGTGTAACTTCCTATAGTAACTTTGTAACCCCAAGTGTTGTTCTCCTGTCCGTCTGTCCATCCATATGTCCATCCAGCCTCTGAGTGCCCTGTACCAGGTAATGAGCTAGGTGCTGTGAGCTTATTAAGAGTGATTTGCACGTAGAACAGATCTAACTACCTTCAAAGAAGATGTCATCAAGAAAAGGGAACAGACAGGTACTGCTGTATAGGGGGGAGTATAGGAGAGTCCATGATGGTGGTTTTTATAGTGGTGTCTTGGCATTATCAGAAACTTTGTTGATTCAAGTGACAGAAATCCAGATCAAATAAAGGTTAGTGGCATCTCGCTTCAGAGATGGCTGGATCTGAAGGCTCAACTGGTATTTTGGGGGTTCTGTCTCTTCATATCTGCTTAGCCTGCTTTCTTTCTTAGTGCAACTTCATTCTTGGACAGTCTCTTTCCAGAAAATTTTCTAGTGGAAACCCAAGGCCTATGTCTCCAGCTGTGATCCCAGAGACAGAGAAAGACACTCCTCTCTCCTGACATTCATTTATTTAATCTTATCTTGGGAAGATTCTCCTTGAGCTAATTGAGATCATATGCACATTTCTAAGCCCACCATTGTGGCCAAAGGGATGGAGTTCTCCTGTCAGTTCACTCCTATATTTGACAGCTGGAGGGGTGGGGCGGGGAGAGGTGGGTTCCTACAGAGAATGTGCCATGGCTCTTTGGTGTTTATCAAATAGGTTCCTCAAAGGAGAAGTCGGTATTGTTACTGATAACAATGGAAAGAGAGGATGTTAGGCTGGGAAAAGAGAGGGGGAGGAAGGGAGAGAGAAGGGGGGGATCCACTTCAATGTTTTAGGAGGCAAAGGAGGGTGTGGCTGCTTCTCTCGGGATGTGAGGATGGACATGATTATTCCTGAGCAGTGATAGTACCAGCATCCCTATGGGTGTCATAAGGGTGAAACACCTTTGAGAGGTAGCAGATACCTTCCTAAGGTATTTTCACCTCTGTTCACTGGCAAACTCTAAAAGGGGAAGGAAACTGAGCTTGTCAGGTAAAGTGATAAAAGATGTGCTGTCCTGGTCATTGAATAGCCTCTTCTCAGGCATGCTCACTTTAGCTTCTTTTGCTATATTTAATAACAAAAGATGAAGCTAGGATGGGTGCAGAGGGGCCGCCTTGGTCACCTTGGTAAGATGGCCGAAAGTTACCCCTTTCTTCATGTTGTTACCAACATTCCGAGTCACTGCTGTTCACTCTCTGCTTTATTTCAGTTTCATTGCAAATCAGAAAAGGTTAGAAATCATCAATGAAGATGATGTCGAAGCTTACGTGGGACTGAAAAATCTGTGAGTATCCAGGACCTGCACACATTATCTCAGAGATTTTTCTTTCTCTCTTCCCACGGTCAGATGGGCATTCACTGGTTAGTTCTAATATATGTGCAATTTATGTGTTTTTCTAGGACAATTGTGGACTCTGGATTAAAATTTGTCGCTCACAAAGCATTTCTTAAAAACAGCAACCTGCAGCACATGTAAGTAGAAGTTGATTCTTTTGCTTCCTAGGACCCAATTTATTCAATATTCCCCCCCTCTGTTTATTTTCTTTTTTTCCCAACTCCAAACCTCCTTTTTTTAAAGTTAGCATAGCTGTGATAATAGCTTAGAAACATTAGCTTTGATTTTGTTTGATTGCTGAATAGCTTCAGAGGGGTACTTAGAACAGGCTGTTTATTCCTTTTCACAAATTTCTGGGCCAGTTCCATCTTGGATAGAGCAATAGGCCAGCAGCAAGGAGTCTAGTGTGAAAACTATGTCCTTGCACAGAGTCCTTGGTTCCTTTCCCTGGAATCATGACATGCTCCCTGGAAGACATCAAACTAGTGGAATTGAAAGAAGTTGATTGGGCCTTGGCCTTTTGGAAAACTAAAAATTACTAGTGCTCCCTCCTCAACCCCACAGTAGGTCTTCTTTTGAACCTTTGTTTTCTCAGAATCGTCAGTCACAGATTGATAAAAGTGGAGAAAAGTCAATCCTGGGATACACTAAAGATTCAGACAATTATTAAAAATAGGAAATGTTTTCCCCAAAGTTTTGTCAATGCTTTGTAGGCTGAAATCAAATGGAAATATGGGAAATGGGAGCCATTAGGTTGCTTGCTGAGGCATGTAAGTCAGTAAGATGGGGCCTTCCAAGAGGAGAGGTTTCTACATCGCTCAGCTCGGACTGGTGGCCTCCATCCCCAGAGTTTTTAGTGGGGGCATCTGCTGGGAAGTTGTGGCCTGCATCCATTGGCCCTTTCTTGCTGCACCAAATTCTCTTTGCAGCAGTAGACTATGTCTGATAGTCTATAGTTTACCTGTGGAACTCTCACCTTTATTATTTCACTTGATTTTTTTCTGACAATTGATAGAGAAGATCTTTTTTATTTCCATTTCATAGATAAAGTAAGAGTGAGTGAGGGAGTTCTAGGGCTTACACAGGTCTGTAGAGTGTGTTGCATGGTAGAATTATGGCTCTAAGGGCTAACCCTTGCCCCGATTCTCACAAGAAGAGTACAGAAAATAAAATTTGTACCATCCATATAATTAGAGGATCAGCCTTTTCTCTAACATTTGTTCTCTTTCTGTTCTTGGGGAGAACAGTTCCTCAACTGATTTCCCTGCCAGTTGTAAAAGAAATCGCTTAGAGCAGATCGCCTGGACGCTCCATTGAGATTTGTTGATATTATGGGAAATGTTAATTTCATAAAGCCAGTATCATGGTTTCATGCTTTATAGGTGGCATTAATGAGGAAGTCACTTTAAAAAGAAAGCCTGTAAATTAAGATATAAAACATTCTGCAAAAATGTGATAAACCTCCAAGGAACTTGATTAACACATTTCATTTACATGCTTTTTTGGCATCATCTCTGTAGCTGGTTTGCCTGCACAGATCTGATGTCTGCGTAGGCCTTGATAGCATAAACAAGACAGAAGCTGGATCGACGAAAAAGGCAGAATGCTCTAATGCAATCACTTAAATGTAATTAATGACCTCAGTGGTTAAGCTCTGGTATTTTCATTGCAGCTGACCTTAGGCCCAAATTACTCAACATCCACATTTTTACTGGCCCTTTCGTCATATTGCTGCTCCTAAGGTTGTGATTTAGACAGTGGCTATCGTTAATTATCGTTTTATTAGTATACTTACTTGTTACTTTTCTGTACTTTTAAATTTTTCTTGTCGCATGCTATTTATGTGACTATGCAAGCTACCTTGTGTATTTATTTCATGGTGATATGTGATAGGATAATTTTCGTGGCATTCTTTGTATAATACACAGCTTATACACAAGGTCAGATATCTGTCCCATTCTCCCAGAGAGGCATGTGTATTATTTGAAAATAGGAAACTACAGAGATGTACATACATAGCTACCAGAGGTGACAGTGGGATAGCAACCTTTGGTCAAAGTGCAGAAACTCGGTTGGTACCTGAAGTCATTGTAGGACAGTAAGACAGCAAAATCAGGCCAGTGTCAGGCAGTTATGAAAAATTTGCCGTATGTCTAATAAGCTTCATATATCACATGACAGAAGAGGTTCTTCATCACCAAAAGATCAAATTAAGTTAGTTTGCTTTTGCGGACAGGGAAGGGGGAAGACGTTAAGCCAGGTGTCTGCTTTTGCAGATTGTAGGTCCTGTGTGAGGAGGACCTGGGAATTGGCGTGGCTTGTTCTCCCCTGAGTGTCCACATGTAAATTGTGCTCTTACCTCAAAAGTCAACACAGTGGCGTACAAAGGAGCTGGTAAAGAAATGTGGATTAAAAGCTGTTTCTCTCTACCCCGGGGAAATACTAATTATCTCTCTGAGGTTCCCAACACTAAGAATGTGTACAAGGTCAGTATTTACTTTGGGTTTTAGGGCAATTCAGCTCGGACTTCTTTTTCCTTTTCACCGCTTCTCTCCCTACCCGTATTAGGATCCCGTGGAAACTGCCCAGAGCCTCAGTGACTGGTCACTGGGTTTATTTCCTGGTGCCTTTAATTCTTGCCCAGCCCCCAGGAACCCAGGGACTGTGAGAAAAGTCAGTGTTTGTGTTTTCCAGAGGCTTTGCAGAGGTGCTAATTAGCTCCTTTGCAAAGCTCTAGAATCAAACAATAAGAGGATTGTTGATCTTTTTCTCTTTCCTCTCTTCCTTCTTTTTGGCTTTTGGCCCCAATAATAAGTATGGTTCATAAGATTCACTGTGTTCTTTGGCCCATAACCCCACTCTATGCTGTGCTGATGGCAGCAACTCCCAGCTGACAGGGAGGACCTTTGCATTAGTTTCTTCTTTCTCTTTACTTGGGGAAGAAGAGCAGGTTACTTATTTATTATTTTTGTTAAGAAAAAAATGGGACTCTCTGATGACAAGGAAAACATTTTTTGCCTTGAAGACTGTGGAAAAGATAGGCAGATTGACTTTTCAACATATTATGTGTCAGTGACAACCATTTTTACTTGATGTTTCAAAAAAAGACCTTTATGTGGGCCCAGGTTACAACTTCTGGTGGGTTGTTTCCTCATGTGAGCGAGCACTTTGTCCTCAGTGTGAAGACAGAAGATGTGGGTGTAGAAGGTAGGAAGGTCCCTTGGGTAGGTAGAGTTTGGATGAGTGGAAGTCTCAGCATCGAATTAAGCTGCGAGTAAACACATGGCAAGTAACTCTACCTTTGGGTCATCAGATGCCAAAGCAGGATATTCTTAATTCAACTAACTGGCCTTAGCCTGTACATTAGCTCTTGTGTTTTAACTCTTCTCTAAAGATGACTGGTGAGATACACTAGGATTTTTTTTCTTTTTTTTATTGTTTGGGATTCATTGAAGGTACAAAGAATTAGGTTACACTGATGGCACTTGTTAGATACAGTCCCTCTTATAATTATGTCTTGCCCCCAAGAGGTGTGCCATACACCCCATCTCTCTCCTTCCTCCCCTCTCCCCACTTGCTCACTCCTCTACCCTGCGCCTTGTATTAACTCATCTACTGCCTTCATCTTAGAATGGAGTACATTGGATTCTTGCTTCTCCATTATTGTGATGCTTCACTAAGAAGAATGTGTTCCTCTTCCATCCAGGTTAATACGAAAGATGTAAAGTCTCCATCTTTTTTAATGGCTGAATGGTATTCCATGGTATACATATACCACAGCTTGTTAATCCATTCCTGGGTTGGTGGGCATTTAGGCTGTTTCCAGATTTTGGCGATTGCAAATTGAGCTGTGATAAACAATCTAGTACAAATGTCCTTATGATGAAAGGATTTTTTTTTTCTTCTGGGTAGATGCCTAGTAATGGGATTATAGGATCAAATGGGAGGTCTAATCTGAATTCTTTGAAGATTCTCCATACTTTCTTTCAAAAAGGTTGTATTAGTTTGCAGTCCCATCAGCAGTGCACATCCAAGCCAGCTTCTGCAGCGTTGAGACTTTGTGATGTGGGCCGTTCTCATTGAAGTTAGGTGATATCTCAGGGCAGTTTTGATTTGCATTTGTCTGATGATTAGGGATTATGAGCATTTTTTCATATGTTTGTTAGCCATTCATATGTCTTTTTAAGAGAAGGTTCTGTTCATGTCTCTTGCCCAGGAGTATATGGGATCATTGGATCTTTTTTGTTGTTTAATTTGACTTTTTTATACATCCTAGTTATCAAGTTTTTGTCTAATTTATAATATGCAAATGTCTTCTTCCCATTCTGAAGGTTGTCTATTTGCTTTGGTTGTTGTTTCCTTAGCTGTACAGAAGCTTGTCAGTTTAATTAAGTCTCATTTGTTTATTTTTGTTGTTGTTGAAATTGCCATGGAAGTCTTCTTCATAAAATCTTTCCCAAGGCTGATATCTTCAAGTGTTTTCCCCACACTTTCTTTGAATATTTTTATTGTTTCATGCCTTAGGTTTAAATCTTGCATCCATCTTGAGTCAATTTTTGTAAGTAGTGAGAGGTGCTGGTCCAGTTTGAGTCTTTTACATGTGGTTATTGAGTTCTCTCAGCACCATTTATTGAATAGGGATTCTTTTCCCCAGTATATGTTCTTCTTTGGTTTATCAAAGATCAGGTGGCTGTAAGAGGTTAGTTTCATCTCATGGTTTTTTATTTGGTTCCAAATGTCAACGTCTCTATTTTTGTGTCAAGACCATGCTGTTTTGATCACTATGGCCTTGTAGTATAGCTAAAAGTCTGGTAGGGTGATACCCCCAGCTTTGTTTTTATTACTAAGGATTGCCTTGGCTATATGGGTTTCTTCTGGTTCCATACAAAATGAAGAATTGTTTTTTTCCCAAATCTTGAAAGTATGATGATGGTATTTTAATGGGGATTGCATTGAATGTGTAGATTTCTTTGGGTAGTATAGACATTTTGGCAATATTGATTCTTCCTAGCCATGAGCATGGTATGTTATTCCATTTGTTAATATCTTCTGCTATTGCTCGGCACCTGTGGCACAGTGGTTATTGTGCCAGCCACGTACACTGAGGCTGAAGGGTTTGAAATCAGCCTGGGCCAGCTAAACAACAATAACAACTACAACAAAAATAGCCAGGCATTGTGGTGGGTGCCTGTAGTCCCAGCTACTTGGGAAGCTGAGGCAAGAGAGTTGCTTAAGCCCAAGAGTTTGAGGTTGCTGTGAGCTGTGACACCATGGCACTCTACTGAGGGTGACATAGTGAGACTCTATCTCAAAAAAACCAAAAAACAAAAAACCAACTTCTACTATTTCTTTTCTTAAGGTTTTATAATTTTCTTTGTAGAGATCCTTCACCTCTTTTGTTTTGTATATTCCTTGGTATTCATTTTTTTTTTTTTTTGAAGCTACTGTGAAGGGAATTATGTCTCTGATTAGCTTCTCATCTTGGCTGTTATTGGCATATACAAAGGCTACTGATTTGTGGACATTGATTTTATATCCTGAGACATTGCTGCATTTTTTTTTAAAATCACTTCCAGGAGTCTGGGGTTCTTTAAATATAAGATTATATCATTGGCAAAGAGTGAGATTTTGACCTCCTCTGCACCCATTTGGATGCCCTTTATTTCCTTCTCTTGCCTGATTGCATTAGCTAGAAGTCCCAGAACTATGTTGAATAGTAGTGGTGATAGAGGACACACTTGTCAGGCTCCAGTTCTAAGTGGTAAAGCTTTCAGTTTTGTGCCTTTCAGTATAATATAGGCTGTAGGTGTGTTGTAGATGGTTTCAATCAGATTCAGAAATGTGCCACCTATACCTATATTCCTAAGTGTTCTAATTAGAAAAAGATGCTGAATTTTATCAAATGCTTTTTCTGCATCTATTGAAAGGATCATATGGTCTTTGTTTTTGCTTCTTTTGGTATGGTGTATTATGTTTATGGACTTGCATATATTATGGACTTTCGTACCAGCCTTACATCACTGGTATGAAACCTACTTCATCATGATGAATTTTCTTTTTTTTTTTTAATGTGTAGCTGTAATCTACTGGCTGGGATTTTATTGAGAATTTTTGCATTTATGTTAATTAGTGAAATTGGTCTGAAGTTTTCCTTTCTAGTTGGGTCTTTTCCTGGTTTTGGTATCAGGGTGATGTTTGCTTCATAGGATGTGTTGGGAAGACTCCTTTCCTCTCTCCACTTTTATTGCCTTCTGGTCTGAGAAGATACAAGGTATAATATTTATTCTTTTAATTTTGCTGAGGTTTGATTTGTATCCTAGGATGTGGTTGATTTTGGAGTATGTACTATGGGCTGATGAGAAAAATGCACATTTTTTGGGATGGTGTGTTCTATATATGTCTATTAATTCCATTTGTTCTAAGGTCACATTTAAATTCTTTGTATCTTTGTTTAGTTTCTGTTTAGAGGATCTGTTCTGTTCTGTTAGAGGGGTGTTAAAGTCCCCACTATTATGCTGTTATGGGATATCATATTGCTTAGACCTCTCAAGGTCTGTTTCATAAATCTGGGAGCATCTAATTTGGGTGCATAAATATTTAAAATTGAAATGTCTTCTTGTTGTATGATACACCAGGATTCTTACAATGGCATTTTCATTGGGCTGACACCACAGACTAGCCTCTCAGGTAAGGGATGAGGATCACTGTCACCCTGGCATCTCATGTTTTATTCTGATCTCAGCTCAACACTTGCTTTCCTGGGCAGGAAGCACACACTGAAAGGCTCATTGGATTCCCCTGGATTTTTAAGGTCTTGTTTGTTCCTGTGAAGTTGATGTTTGCTATACATTCATGTTACTTATCAAACGCATGTCTTGAGGCCCAAGCATTGGACTCTTTTTAAATAAATTCAGACAAATTCACAGGATTATGGCTCTGAATTCCCCACCCAAAATCTCATGGCCCAATCATTGGAAACTCCCATTCATCGACTAAAACTATAGATTTGGAATATGTCAATAAATTCATTATTACTTTTTTTTTAATCACAAATACGTTTTTTCATTGACTGGCTGGTCCAAATCTCAAGATGGTATGTTGCTAGGATAGTTTAAGATAAAATATGACTTATGCCCTGTTATTTGATTTTTTGTTCTTCTTATTTTTGAATTATCTAGTTATCTAGACCGTATGTAAATAATCTCAGCAGTTTTTCCATCAATAACTGTGTCCTTTCCTATAAACGTATATTAAATTGAGTAAATACTCAAGAACTTTGTCTGCTACCTAATTTTAAAATATTCATGATGCTGTTTAGTTTTAAAACATCTTTTTTCTCTACCGAGTTTAGTTTTAAATTTTATCTTATGTTACATATACTCCTAGTAATTGTTTCAAAAGTTAGGATCTGTATGAGGTATATAACTTGGCTCTGAATTAGTATCTAAAAAGGCAGGTAAAATAAGGGACTAAAAACAGACAAATGGAAAGTAGTTTCCCCTCTCCCAAAGGCAAGGACTGCAGGCAAGGATAGAGGCAAAACTAAGCTATCACTCCCGGTGAAAGAAGGAGGTGATTGGATCTAAGTAAAGCATGGATAATGATCAAATGCATTATATTTGGAAAACAACCTCTCTATTTGAATACTTTGTTTCTAAAATGTAGCATTTTAAATTCACGCTTAATGTTTTTGATTCCTTTCAGCAATTTTACCCGAAATAAGCTGACGAGTTTGTCTAGGAAGCATTTCCGTCACCTTGACTTGTCTGAGCTGTAAGTAATGATTTTGTGTGGCATTTGGGGAAATGTTTTCAAAGGAAAGGGTAATTAAGGATTTTTTTTTTTTGAGTGAGTGATGTTGCAGATCTATTTTCATATCAAAATTCTTGAAAATGTGATGTCTCAAGTTTGGGTCTCTTGGTCTTTTATTCCCTCATGAAGACATGATTCAGTAATTGAAGAAAATAGAGCTCTCAATAGTAACATCATGTGTGCTTAGTTTAAATATCAAGCTTAGCTTCACAGCCAAACAAACCCATTGGAGGAGGAAATACCAAGGGCATAACTCTCCCTGCTTTTGTCCATCCTGGGGATAGGGAGCCTTGGAGGAGGAGAGGTAGTTTCCCTCTCCACCCACCTTTCTCTAGGTTTGCCATTGCATTTAATTTTTATCCTGTGTTGTAATTCCTCTGCTGTAAAATGATAAGAAAACATATTGAAATGTGTTCTTGACTAACAGCTAGCATTTCCAGGTGGGCCCAATCCTCTGCATTATCACAGTTAAGCAAATGAGAACTATTGTTAATCTGATGGTAATGCAGAGGTTTCGTGGGGCAGAAGGACGTGTAGATCAGACAAGGCTTTTGTGTCCACTGTATGTTGCCTGAATTGTGGAGTCTTTCGTATGAAGGCCCCTCCCTATTCCGAAGAAAATTGTGTGGAGTGGAAGACGCCCTGCCTGGAGAGACAGAACAAGTTGATAGGTAGCCATAGGGGTTAATGATGAAAGTTTCAGCAGTTGGCAATTATTTGGAATATACTTAATTCAGGGAGTTGAAGCACAGGAATGGGAAGGACAAACAAAAAACAGATGAAATAGAGTAAGGTACCTGGTGTAAAAATTTGGAGCATCACTGCATAAGATTTTCTTGATGGATTAAAAATTATGGAGTTCTAGTTTCAAATTCATGTCTTAATATTCCCCCTGAAGGATGTTTAATCAATTTATTCAAGAATGTTAATTGTCTACCTGTTATAAATCAAACTGACATGGCGCTAAGCCATGGGGAGGTAGGGAGAAAAGCGTCTGTGTTCTAGGATTCCGTCATCCAGTGGCAGAGGGAGAAACTGAAAGGGAGAAGTGTACCGTGCCGTAATAACCACTGTGAAAGGAGTCTGCACAGTGAGCTGGGGAGGCCCGCGGTCTGCCAGGGCTGTGTGGTCGCAGGAACATTGTTTTATTGATAACTGAAGCAACCCTTCACCTCTGCTGCTTTACCTGTACCTTCTTTTGACAAAGACTTTCATTTTTCATGTACTGAGACTCTAGGAAGCATCTTGGATCAGTGGGATTTAAACCGGTTGTGGGTCCCTTCTGCATTATGTGCCATATCTCATAGTTCATGTTGTATTTTGCTGTTGGAGGGATGACTTGGAGGCAATCAAGCAGACGCAAAGTAAACGGGATTACCATGACCACATTTCCCCCGAAAGAAACTCCTGGAAAAGTCTCTGGGGGATCCCTGGGATGCTTAGAACCCAACCAGAAAACCACAGGAGTAAATGGTGTTGCCAAAGCCCAGGTCCTGTCCCCGTAGTAATCTTAAGTCTTGTGGTTAATGCCAGGCAGAGTCTATGTAACGATTTTAAATGGCCTCATTTAAAGGCTCATTACCATAAATGGAATTCATCTTAAATAGGCCACTGAGTATTATAAATAAGCATTTAAAGATTTTCTTCCTTGTGGTTTTTATTTTCCTCTTCACTATTTCCTCTTTTACTCATTGCAAGGCACCGGAGTGCAGGCAGCAGGGCTGAGGTCTGAACGGTGGTGGCTTGCTTTTTGCAGACCCTCCCACAGTGGGCTAAGCAGCTCAGTCTGGAGCTCAGTTGTCTCGCCCTCACAATCCCTGAGCGGGCCTGTGTGCTGCACGTGTATATGTGTCTGTGTGTTCACACGCGTGCACATGTGGGAGTCCCTTCTGGGTTCTCTCTCACGTTCACACCCACTTTTCTGCATCAATAAAACTGCCTGGGGTTGCATAATGCAGAAAGCTAGGGGTGCCAACCCCCTGACACTCACATTTTAGTCTTTGCTTTGTACTTACCATCTCCTTTTAAATTGAGATGAAATTTTCCTTCCCTCCCACTGAAGTTCGAGCTTATTAAATGATAGCACTCGAGTCTCTAGCCTGGTCAGAAATGAGCATGCCAGCGTTCCTGAGAATGTGCTACCATTGTCACTGGAGACCTTCTAAATGACTATGTAATAGCCACGCTAAATTCATCATGGCACCTATTTTCCACATATTATGAGACATTTTTTTCTCTCCTATATCTTGACGACTTCTGTTCCTGTCTTACTTTCCCTATTAATTCTGTAAAGATCTTATATTGCTGACCTACAGTGGTGTTTGCATATAACAGAAGCTCAGTAATTATCAGGTGAGTAAATTAATAATAAGTATTATCAAGCTCTGAAAGAGGTGTTATTTTCAAAAGTGGCTGGCTAGAAAGAATTCAGAGTATAGTAGTTCATAAATACTAGCGTATTTAAAAGCGAAGAAGAAGGCTGATCATTGGCATTTTTGTTCCACGTAGGATCCTGGTGGGCAATCCATTTACATGCTCCTGTGACATAATGTGGATCAAGGCTCTCCAAGAGACTAAATTCAGTCCAGAAACTCAGGATTTGTACTGCCTGGATGAAAGCAGCAAGAATATTCCCCTGGCAAATCTGCAGATACCCAATTGTGGTAATTTATTTTTAAATCAATGAGTTCTAGTTGCTATTAATTATTCTAATTGCCTTGCTGTGGTAGAGAGTCTGGGAAGATTACCACTACCCAGATTTTATATAGGAAAACCATCGGTGCCTCCAGTGAATCAGACAACATTTCTGTGCAGTGTGGAGAAATCAGCTGGGAGCAATGTGGTGGAATGTTGTTTGCAAGGAGAATATCATTTGGAACGGATGATTTTAAAGTCCACAGAGAGAAAAGTGTATGGTTTATTCCTTTGTTTGTTCACTCGTTTGTTTATCCATTGTCCATCCATCCAAAAAATACCTGCTGAGAGTGTGGTACTTCCCGGCCTCATATGCACTTGATTGATGCCCAGGCCAAGGAGCTCAGGGTTGTGGAAGCAAATGCAGTCCAAGCCAGCACACCTCCTCCCTCTTGTCCTCCTGCCAGGGGTCTGTGTCTCTTGATGGGGTACCCTCAGTCTGTCCTGCCATGTGCTTTTCCCGGGTCCGGGTTTAAGGTCTCCTAATTCACCATCACCCCCTGCTCCCCTCTTCAGCGTTTTTATCTCTAGCATTAAAAATGGGCACCTTATGGCTAAAGCAGAGCTCGTGTGAGGGCCAGTGAGGTACAAGGCTGGGAAACGGAAGTGCTGTGCTGGAGATTTTACCAATATTTAGCAACTTACCTCTGTAATACATGTCCATGTTACTCCCGTGAAATTTGAAATAGTCAGTCAGGTAACACCACACACAATTAGTTCGATCTTCTGACCTACTGATTACTTACACGACAGATGGCCATGTAACACCTGGTTCCTCTCCATCAGGAATGTGCCTGTTCACCGCAAACAATAGCCTCTTTGTGTTTGGAAGAATCTATTCAGTGGAGGTCTATTTTTATTTAAGAGTAATATAGCTGCTGTTCACACTTAGTGAGCGTGTAATAAAAATAAAGATAAGTGTTTGTTTCTTACCCTGACGGGCCTTAGAAGACAGCCATCACCCTTCCCACAGATTTTTCTGTCACAAATAGAGCCCCTTGGTTTCATAATGGGGGAATAAGTCTTTGTTCTTCTGCCAGCTTCCTTCAGCTTTCTCTGCTAGCTAACACTTTAAAACAGAAACTTTTAATATATATATCTTTTCCTGATTGGGGAGAGGGCGACTGGGCTCTATTCTGGTACAAATTTGCCTCACTGAGAGACATTGCTTAGAGGGACAAGAAATCCAACATTGAGTCACCTGGCCTTTTGGCTAGCTTCCAAATCCTCACGGCTGTTGGGACCACATTGGTTCAGCAACCACTGAGAGGAAAAGAGTGAAAGCATCTGAATCCTAATTTCACAAGCTGCCTCTTAATAGATGTCTGCTTTAACCTTGCCTGAAACCAATTCTGTTTTTTTCAATTGTAATTTTTGGTCATGTCATTTTGGCAGCTTTCTGGTAACTCACCCCACCTTACGTGTTGTTGATAGGCCACTGTGGCTGGTTGGTGGGGGGCGTGGAATGTAGGGAGTGAACTGGTCCTCATCTCTCCTAATCAATCTGTCTATTTCCTGTAATTTTTTATTAGTCAATGAATTACGTATATGAAAGTGAGATTTTCAATCCACTGTCAGGAGGGCATGAATTTGATTGACTAATTAGGACTGAATTGCTCCATTCATGGTAACATTCACAATTCATTTCAATGTTAATGATGCTTTTCAAAAAGCAACCTTCTAGAAGTATGTGCCAGGGGAATCGACAGACTTATTTTTCTATTGTTTTACTTTTTTTTTTTTTTATTAAATCATAGCTGTGTACATTAATACATTCATGGGGTACAATGTGCTGTTTTTATATACAATTTGAAATATTTTCATCAACTGGTTAACAGACACAGTTAACCTTCATGTCATTTTTTTAGTTAATGCGTTAAGACATTTATATTCTACATTTAGAAAGATTCACATGTACCCTTATAAGATGAACCAAAGCCGTGATCTCACCTATCACCTTCTATTGTTTTTCATGCTCTTAAATTATTTCATTTTTTCCCTTGTTAATTTTTGTTTTCTTTCCTACTGTTTTAACTTATTTATAATTGAACAAATAATATTGAGACATTTTGCTGGAAAAATACTTTGCTATATTACAATATTCCTATGTATTTTTTTTTTCCTTGCTTTTGACCTTTTCAGGTCAATAGTCATGGATCTCATATTCTTTTTAAACATTGCATGGTATTATTCAGGATAGAATATGTCTTAATTACATTAAAGGTTCCATGTTGATGGGCACAAATCATCCTTCCCATTATTCATTACTACAAAAGTGTTTCAGGAAGCCTTCTGATCAGGCTCTTTGTACATGTGTACAAGTACAAAGTCTTTTCTAGAATGCACAGTAGGAACTAGAATTTTTGGTGTATATGGTTTGTACATCGAAAAATGGCCGTATCAATTTACAGCTAGCTACCTAACAAGATAGACCCTGATATTAGCAAACATCTCAGTTTTCCTCTTTTTAACTGGTCCTCATCTCTCCTAATCAATCTATTTCCTGTAAATTTTTATTAGTCAATGAATTACGTATATGGAAGTATCATTGCTTTGGAGTTCCATTTTCCTGATTACTATGGACCATTTTATACGTTTATTGGAGTGTATTTATGATTCCACCAACTGCCTATCCATATCTTTTTATTTTCTGCAGGGTCTTTCTTTTTCTTTCCCTCCCTTTCCTTGATAACACACTGTTTTTCCTTAACTGTTTGAAAGTTATAGATTCTATTTCTAGGGTTTTGAAAATATATATGAAGCAAAATATTTTCGGCATTTATTTAAATACGTATTTTCTCCAGATGCCTAAAGATAATCCCCCAAGAACACACAAGAAATGACATTTTTTTCTTCCCTTCTTTTCCCAACTCTCAGATTGTTATCATCTGAGATTTTATTTTTAGATGATTGTTACCTGCTTTTTTTTTTTCTTAAGATCTCTAATTTCTTTGAATGTCCTTGACTTTTGTATCCTTTGTCTTCTTGGAGTGTTTTTTCTTTTTTGCTGGCGTATACCTTCTGATATTTCTTTCAGAGAAATTAAAAAATAAAATCTCACCTGATAGAAAGTCCGCCTGCATCTTTCCTTCTCAATGCAATTGGCTGAGTGAAAACTCAATTGTCTAGGCTCAAAACTCTAAAGACTTTGCTACAATTTTTTTTTGTATTCAGCCTTGTTGATGAGAAATCTGAGGTCAGTCTGACTCTAAAAGCTTTGAGGATTTGCTTTTTATTTGTGCCATTTTAAAATTTCACCTCAATATGACTAGTGTGGGGTTTGAATTTTTTTTATTCTGTTTCCAGTTGAGGGATGCCTTTTCTTTTCTTTTTTTTTTTTTATTTAAGAAATGTGTTTACTCCACAGCTGAGTGGGTGGTTTTTATTCTTGTAAATTATTTTTTTTTAATTGAATGGTAACTATGTACATTAATGCACTTCTGGGGTACAGTGTGGGGTTTTCACATGCAATCTGAAATACTTCCATCAACTGGTCAACACAGCCTTCATGTCATTTTCTCAGGGATGCCTTTTCAATGTAAGGACTCAGGTCTAATGTTCTGCAAACATTTTCTTATTAATTTGCTCTGTGTCATCTTTCCATTTATTTTTTCATTCAGGAATTCACACCGGATGGACATTTGCACTGCTGGCCCCACCCTCCACCCCTCACAACCTTTCTTCAATTCTTGCCACCTGCATGTACTTCCCTGCTGCATGATGGGAGAATTGGTTTACTCACCATTTTGCTTTTCAGTTATTTCCTCAACTCCTGGATTTTTTCCTTTCAACCATTGATTTTTAATTTCTGCAATCTCTGGTGATTCATTTTTTTGTGCCTAAAGTGCCTTTTTTTTTTTTTAATCGGGGTTCACCATATCTGTAGGGTGGTACCAGCACCTAGCAAACTCCCAGGACTTTGCAGCTATTGTGCTACATTCTTTCTGTATTCAGTGTTTTCTTTGCCATGAAGTTCCAAAGTCATTGCTTCTTTTGGGGGTAACTACAGCTGTAGTTGGATGCTATGCTTGAGGTGAGAGGGCGGGGCGGGGCGGGGCGGGGCGCTGGGAAGGTTGTTCATCCTGCTGCTTCAAATCTTTTTCTTACCCCACAGCTGGTGGCTTGACCTGGCGGGCCCTCACTCTGTCCTGCAATCCTCCCCTGTAGTTTTAGGTCCACCTGGAGCTGCCTTATTGGTGCAGAGAATACATGCGCATCAGTCTGGGGCTGTGCTGCTTTTCTTTAATCCTGTTCTCCTATGTTCTCTTGTTCAAGGGTTCTTCATCGTCTCTTACCCACTGACAATATGCCTTCTCCTTTTCTAACATCGTTCTGGATTTTAGCAAAAATATTATACATCGTTTCTAGATGTTTGGGATGAAAGGGGAAGTCTCCGATTCAGGGCTTAATCACATGCTAATTTTCTTTTGATGGTTTCTCAACTTCAGTTCATTAAAGTGAAGTTAGACATATACAGCAGAAAATTACACTAGAATATACTTTTGGATTTTAAACTTTTCTCTGAAGTTCCATGTTGAAGAAACCAGATAATACCATGCCAAGTTAGACGTCTTATTTTTTTAAAAGAAGGGTCAATGGTCAGTTGGCTTTTTCTTTTAGATAAGTTTGAAAACTATGTCATTCTGTTTAGCTTATAGATTTGTGGAGTTCACCTTATTTCTATGCTTTTTTTCCTTTGCATGAAACTTTTTAGTTAACTTTAAATCAGCTGAAGGTATGGTGTATGTTTCATTACTGGACACCAACAGTTTGCCAGGAGCATGATCATTGCAATTAGTTTGCAATTTTCATTTCAATAGGAATAGAAGAGTTATCGAGCATTTATTCCTTTGTGAGAAGAGTTTTCTTCAAAAGCTTCCCTCAGATTATGAAAGTATTATTGGAGAATGAGTTCTCTACATTTTATATGCAAATATGCTTCCTCCACGGTTCCTAATATACCTCTTGA